AACATCTCCATCGCATCACGGCATATGTAGATCTCGATTTCGTCAAACTGGGGGGGTTTAGATGCCGTGCAATTTCACTTTTCCACACATTTTTTTGGTGTACTCCTTGAGAGACCATCTTCGTTTCCCCGACGCACTGCAGGCCGTGGTAGTTTGATTTGTTTGGTGGTGGCCGTAAAATATTTCTTTGAAGTCCAAAGTTTTTGCATCTGTCGACCCAGTCCTCTAGTTTCGATTCCGATCTGATAGACTCACACATATACGAATGTATAAACAGAATATGCACTTATAATTTCCGGCACGGCTTTGACCACTCTAGACGGTAGCTTGTTCACGAATCCTGATCATTATCCAAATGCAACTTGGTAAAGCAAAGACTTCCTTTTCATTACATCACCATAACTTTCCGGCAGTTCTTATAATATGACAAGCTCGACGATGGTCTTTCTCGGTGGCACTGCTGTAGTGCAAATATGTTAAGAGAGCTTGGATAGGCTCTCCATCGTCGTCTGGAAATCACGTGGCAAGATTCTCATGCGTGCTCTGCTCTTGGAATTTCTGGGAGTGTCTTGTCCGACTGTCTCCTTCGCTGTGATCTTCTTTTCTCTTTTGGTTAAATTTTTTTTCCTTGGTGGTACACTTGAATCATTTGGAAACAACCAAAGGTACCGTATAAATATCGATTAGCCGAGAAACTATCAAACTTCAAATGTATAATTTGACTGGATTGCTGCTGCTGACACAACGAATGATCAACGCTGGAAAACCCATAACAAAATACTTAGTGAGAAGTTTTGATAAGTATTTAAGCTCAGGGAAGCTTCTCTTTCAGTTGCCGAAATTGTGGAGATTTTAAATCCAAGGCCGTTAGCTGTTCGAAAACCGACACCATTGCGAGGCGGGCATTTTGCTAATTTTTAGCAAAAACCACACCGTGTTTCTGTCCCAACACGCTTGCTAAATTGCTATTATAATTCTCCCACTGAAAAAGCTGGCTAAGCCAAGAAGCCACAAGTTTGTTTGTCGGGAACAAGGATTTGGGAGCTTCAAACCCAGGAAAAACCACGTCAATTTCGTGGGAACCTTTCCCGGATTCCTTCTCCGAAAAGCCAAAAAAACGGCCCAGAGAGGAAAAAAAAGAAGAAAAAATCCTTGCACTTCCATCTTTGATCTCTAAGCAGCCGCCGCCAAGGATATCCCCTCCATGGATGGGGAATCTCAAGGCTTTTGTCGACGTGGGAAACGACGAGTGACAAAAGGTGGCGGTGAAAATGAAAATGCCACACAGAAAAGTATAGAGACAAGAGAGGGTTCTTTCTCTCTCTCTCTCTTCTCCAGAAACGTTGTTTTATGAGCCATCAGAATTGTTGGTTGGCTGGCTGGCTGGATTGGATCGAAGCGAACCAACAAATTTTGGGGAAGAAGAGGGCGAGCAGCCATGAATAACTGTGAATTGATCGACCCCATGGATCGATCTGGAGAAAGATTGATGGAGAAAGAGATTCAAGCTACATTCATGAATGTTTCTCATTCAGTGTAAGTACAAGCGTGGTTTTTGTCTGTTTTTCGCGTGGGCGTGTTTGTATATAGAACAAAGTAGAAGAATTGTTCATGGATGTCCTCTATTCAGCGGAGTATCCAGCACCACCACCGTATTGACTTTGAAGGCAAAATTATAATATACTATTTGATCAAGAGACAAAGTTTAGAGGTAAGAACAGGAAAAAAAAAACGCAGGGGGCGCTTTTGTTCACATTTGATAAAAAGGTATAGTTTCCGCGGGTTGGAAGTATGCACGCAATTCCCTCAATACCAATGAAACCGACACCAAAAATAATTTAGAATTTCTACTTAAGAGAGAAAACATAAAAATAATAAATAATAATAATAATAAATAAATCAGCGTGAATTATGCTCCAATCATATGGCTGCGGCGCAGTCAAGTTTACTCCAATCCAATGCGTCTCTCCAAGTTAGAACATTTCTAGCTAAGCATGCTTTAGTTAATATAATCTGTAGTTTAACCAGATAAAAATAATGAGAGGATAAGAGTAAAGAAAATATTCCATTGAATTAAAAATTCATCAAAGTCCGAGTCAAATAAATTGTTACTTGTGTAGGTTGAGAGCTCATTTCCAAGAAACACTGCTGAGTGAGAAGTGCTCCTACTTTGAGCAGCCATTCTTTCTCCTGTTTCCATATAGTCTTCTCTCACACACTCCATCATCACAGTGCGCACGAACACATCGAGAAAAGATAGAATTAGGATCAATCAATCAATCGCGGCGTCAATCATAGTTTGTCCACTGCAGGGCCAGGGCCGCGAGAAGAAAAAGAGAAGAACGAAAAGGGGGGCTGGGATTCGGGAAGAGCTCGAGCTTTGATTGAGTTGAATTCCATTGGCGGTGGTGTCGCTAGCAAAAGCTTCGATCAATCTCGAGGCTCACGTTCGGCTTTGGAGGGAAGAAGAGAAGGAGAAGAGGAAGTTTGTTTTGGGTCGTCATTCGAGAGGGATTTGTTCTGAGCATGAGCGCCATGGTGGTGCAGCAGCAGCAGCAGCAGCAAGGAAGCAATCGGTCCAGGCCTCCTCCAAACATTTGGCTTCCACCGGGATTCCGGTTCCATCCTACCGACAACGAGCTCATCACCTTCTACCTCGTCAAGAAGGTCGTCAACACAAAATTCGCGGCGCACGCCATCGCCGAGGTCGATCTCAACAAGTTCGAGCCATGGGATCTACCCGGTAAGGAGGAACTCTCCCATCTTCTCTCGCATTCGTTTCTATGATTTCCTCTCACTCTCTCGACGTTCTTGGGCTTGAATTTGCTGCATTGCATTCATGGCATTCCAAGGAACTTGGAATCGATCACTTGGGTCGAGTTGCCTGGACGAAATTCCTCTAAAAATCTCTCCTTTGTTCTTTTTTCTTTCCCGGCAGAGAAAGCAAACATGGGAGAGAAGGAATGGTACTTCTTTAGCTTGAGGGACCGGAAGTACCCGACGGGGATGCGTACGAATCGGGCAACCGAGGCCGGCTACTGGAAAGCAACCGGCAAAGATCGAGATGTCCGAGGAGGAGGAGGATCCAACGTCAACAACAGCAACAGCAATGGACCCGGAACTTCTCTTGTGGGTATGAAGAAAACGCTGGTTTTCTACCGGGGCCGCGCTCCCCGGGGCGAGAAAACCAATTGGGTCATGCACGAGTATCGATTGGAAGGCAAGACCGCCTACTTGTATGGATCCAGAGCCGCCAAGGTGAGTAATTTCTCGCGCCAATACCTAATGCTCTGTTTTTTTTAAGTGTGTTCTTCGTGTTCTTCCTTCGTGTTCTTCGCTTGTTCTTCGTGCGTTCTCGTGTTCTTCCTTTCTTTGTTCTTTGTTCTTTCGTGTTCTTCCTTTGTTCTTCGTTTGTTCGATGAATCATGGGATTGACTTCTTCTCTTTTGTCTGAATCCCAGGAGGAATGGGTGGTGTGTCGGATCTTCCAAAAGAAGGCCTTGGCCGCCGCCAAGCTGAGGGCATTGTCCGAGGACAACGCCGCCATCACCACCGGCGCGGCACACGACTCGGACGATCACGAGGTTCCTTGCTCGCCCGGCGCCGCCACCGCCAAGCCCGAGCTGGACGATCACTTGTCTTGCATTTCCGGCGTCGACGATCAGCAGCAGCAGCACCAGTGCTCCAAGAACTTCCCCGGGCTCTACAGCACGGGAGACTTTGCCAAGCTCTTCGATCCCGAGTTCCTCCCGCCGCTACGATCATCCCAAGTGAGCCCCTACGCCACCAACGCGAGCTCGTGCTATAGCAACAAGGGATCGTCCTTGACAAAGTCGTGCAAGAGCGAGCCTTACGCCGCCGCCATCCCGCCGCCTCTCGCCGACATTAGCAGCCCCAGCGCCGCCGCCGCATACAACGCGTTTGCGGGCTTCGTGGGCGATCACACAGCTCTAAACTTCTCCTCCTCGTCCTTCGATTCATCACACTCCACCTCCCAGCAGCAGCAGCCATTCTTCCAGCAGCATTCCGCCGCCACTGCCGATCAAGGCTTCATCAACGAGTTCCTCTTTAGCCGCTTCCTGGCCGACCCATCGTCCTCGAGCTCCTCGGATTTGGACCAGCTCTACGCGTTCTAATCTGACAAGACGAACCAACAACAACATCGACAGATCTCCAGGTCGTCTTTCCTTCCATCAAAGGTTGGTGTACAGATTGTTTTCCCAGGTGATCTAGCAGCTCAAAAACTATCATACGTGAATTATATCAGATACATAGAAGACTGTACATGACAAAGATCAGGGTATAGTGATCGTATTCATACGAGGTGGCTTTCAGATACAATCACAGACAATGATCTTAGAGACAGGAAACTATTCATGTTCTTTCAATTCAGCTTCCAGATAATGAACAAGCTTATCCATTTGACAAAGCTTGTAGATTATAAAACAATACTATCAAAGGCTGCGCAGCTATCAAGTCTTTGAGTCAGTAAGATACCATTCGAGACTGCTGCGCTTGTTTGTAGCTGGAAAATCTGGAGGAAGAACCAAAAAGAACTGAAGAGAAAAAACACGTTGCGATTCCGGGTTGGGTGGAGGGAAGCTACCTCATAACTGAGCAGTGTTGTGTTTGTGTCAAACTTCTCTCCTCCAGTGCTGGCGCTTTGCATTGGCGCCAAGGATTGAGGAGATGACGAGTTTGTCTTACGACAGCATCAGCTCGATACCCCGAGCTCATCTTCTAGACCTGAGATCATCCGCGAGAGTTAAAGTAAAAAACGTAACTTGCCAAATACCTTTGTTTTTAGCGAGCATTAGCCTCCAACGTGGGACCTGCCCGAGCAAGTCGGCTAGCTGTGCGTTTCCCAGAAAACCAAATCCTTTTTTGTTCTCCCACCTAGAAAACACAAATCCAGTCATTCACCACCACTTGATCGGATTTCAACAGTATCGAAGGAATCCAAATCAGCGCAATGCTGTAAAACAACCGACTGCACAGGAGAGGCTCACAATCTATCGTCACTTCCATTTTAAAGTCAAAGATAAAATGTACCAAAACTTTTTACGTCGCCTCCTTGTCTAATGGACAACTTGGCCTTGGAGAGCCACTGGTACACCGTTTGTAGCTCTTGCATTCTCCACACTTCTTGTCACATTCCAAATATTTTCCTAAAAAAAAGAAAAAAACCTGTTAGAGGTCCCTGTACTGGATCTGAAAGAGGAATACCTTCCAAACCGCCAGCTTCGCCCGGAGCTCCTTCCATTGCGTGGGGCCGAACACCCTCTCCGTGCAGCGGCTGCATTCGAAAAATCTGTGTAGTCAGTCCGCTGTAGCAATCACTAAAAAAGTGACCTTATGACAACATGTTGATGCATTTGATCCATTTTTGCATCCAACATCTTCGTTGCTATTCCCTTGACGATCCAATATTCGACTTCATCATCTCCGACCTGGCGGGTTTCGTTTCGTACTGATTTCATTCGACAAGAAAAGGACAAAGGAAAAAAAATGCTTACCTTTAATGCATCCTTGATCGTTACATAAGGGATTTCCCGCGAGGCTTTGGAGGCAAGCCCGGCCAGTGACATAAGTCGCATCTTTGTGATGCACTCCTCATGCACCAATCCTGCGCATGCCGCCTAGTAAGAACAAATACGTGACCAAGGCTGAATCATACCGTAGTTTTTAAACAGATTTGGATTGGAGGCTTGAAACTCTAGATATGCATCCAGGCGAGAAGTCAAAAAGATCTCAAGAAGCCGATAAACTGGGGCATACTTGGAATCCTTTTCAAGCTGACAAACAGCTGCCATGTCTAGCAGGTCACACTGAAACACCAAAGTTTAGAGAAAGGAGATGAGACGGAGTAGTAAGAGAAAACCTGGAACATGTCTGGTGCTTTCACAAACTCGATGATTGCTCTCACAGCTTCCTCCTTCGCTTCTCCAAGGGTCTGATTGTCCTCTCCAGAAAATGTAGCCAGGTACTTCAGCAAGAAGCTGAAAGAGTCTTTTGCAGAGCTGCAAAACAGAAACGCGTTTGAGGAGAAAATGAGCTTAGAACGAAGTGCCAGTGTCATACCTTTTACCGTCTTTCAAGATATTCGTGATGGCAAGAAACAGTTTTCTCTTCTCTGCCTTGGCGATGTTCCACTCTTTTAAGAACGCATCCATCCGCTTGAAAGACGGGGTCACCATCTCTGTGACTTTTCCATTAACAGCAAAATCCACAGCTCTCTTGAATGTAAGGAAACGTCCATACGGATTGTCAAGAACGTTGTATAAGTTGAAAAGACTGTTCAAAGAAAAAAAAAACAAGAAAGAAGAAACCATTAGCACGAATGCTCTAATCGAACAGGAGCTTACATTCTCAAACGAAGTGCCGGCTTATCAGTTACATTCGGTGTAACTTTCGAAGCAATCTGATCAGCCATCGCGAGAGCCTCATCTGGACTCCTGGCCTTGGACACTAGATTCGTTATCACAGAGAACACAGCCTCGGAATCTAGACAGACAAAGGAAACTCCTTTTAACTCCAACAAAATACAAAGAAAGCTCAAACCTTTCTCGGGGGTGTTGCTCAAAACCATCTCCGACGACGTCAAGAGCAGCGACACAAGCTCCGACCACCGATTCTCCACGGCCAGATTCTCAGCCTCCTCGCAAATGCGGGAGATCTCAGCCTCCGCGACCTAGAGAAGAAATTTCCTGAGCCAGGAAGACAAAGATCAGCCACTTACATCGGCGCCAGCTTTGGCCCACGCGACATCAGCTGTGAATCGCGCCACGGCGAGCACCGGATCCTCCTCGCCAGTCTCCACGAGCGTCGTCATGCTGGGCGACTAGGGCTAAAGTGAATATTCCTTTCCCATAAACCCTAGTTTTAAACCAGGGAATATGCCAAGGCAATGCGTCAGGGGTTCGATCCTCGTTATGAAACCCTAAAATGGGGCTAGAGTAGAAGCAGGGATTTGGGGAGGGAGGGAGCGATGGCGATGGGGCAGAGCGCCAAACCAATGCCGCAGCTTGATCAGCAGAGCACCAAGGAGCTCAATCTCACTGTGCTCCAGCGCATGGACAAGCACGTCGAGGACATTCTCACCACCGCGGGTCACGTTACCTTCTACGAGTTCAGCATGGACCTCAATCAGTGGGTAAGGGCCTGGGCTTGGAATTCTGGGCGAGGGGTTTGGATCCTTTGCTGGATTTCGAGGCGCTAATGCTCGATCCTATCGTTATTCGCAGAGTCGAAAGGATGTAGAGGGGTCATTGTTCGTTGTGAAAAGGCAAGGATGGATCTTGTGGTGTGGTTTGTTTTTATTCTGTGCTCTTGGTGATCTAGGCGGATGCAGCCCAGGTTCCAGTTCATTGTCATGAATCGCAGAAGCACAGGTAAGAGTGATTGCAACTCTCTCTCTCTCTTTGTTTTTCTTAGACGCTAAAAAACTCGTCCTTGCTGGATTTGTTTTGACGCGTTGGTGATTGTGCCTGTCAGAGAACTTGGTCGAGGATCTCCTCAGCAATTTCGAGTACGAGGTCCAGGTGCCTTACCTGCTCTACCGAAATGCAGCGCAGGAGGTTAACGGGATCTGGTTCTACAATCCACGGGAGTGTGAAGAAGTTGCCAAGTTATTCTCGAGGTTTGTTATTTGCTCTTTTTTTTTTTTCTCTTGAAACGCTGAAAGTCTGATTTTGGTGAGATCTACAGGATACTCAACGCCTTCTCGAAAATTCCTCCAAAGCCAAAGCTGATCAGCCAGCCGAGGTTGTAGTAGATCTCTTCTCATCTTCCTGACTGGATTTGACATGGTGTGCTTACTGAAGCGTGCAGTAATGAATTTCAAGAGCTAGAGGCAGTTCCGACAGCGGCCATTGTGGAGGGACCACTGGAACCAGCAAGCGCCGTTCCAGAAGAACCACTGGAGCGGTTTTTTAACGTAAGCCCATCTTCCACTCTCACATCTAACAAACATTTCTGTCTCTTTTTTTTTTTGTTTTCTGCTTTACAGAATGCTTTACAGCTGAATGTGGATCCTCCACCACCATCTTCTCGGCCTCCAGTCGCGACAGTTCCCATTATCCGTTCGACCGTGCCACCATCTTCCAATGTAGCACCCGTCGTTCCACCCCCGGTCGCGAGCGTCCCAGCCATTACGACTGTGACTCCAGAGCCAGCCGAAGGAACTCCCGTTTTGGTGAAGCCATCCTTCTTCATGACGCCTCCAGCGTCCACGGTTCTCGCTCCTCCTCCTCCTCCTGTTCTTCAACCATCGCATGGTGCGCCTTTTCTCCAACCATTTCCACCGCCAGCTCCACCTCCATCGCTTGCTCCAGTTTCCGCGACTTTGATCACGAGGGAGGGAGTTCGGGATGCGCTCTCGCGGCTCGTTCAGGTAGATTAAAGTTGTCTTTGTTTGTTGATGGTGTTCTTACTTTTTTGTTTTGGTTTTGGTCTTTGTTTGAGCAGACTGATCAGTTTATCGACCTGATATACCGTGAGATGCTCAATGCACACACCAAGTAGTGTGCCGTATGGTTTGTGTTTATATATGTGTATTCTGCTTGTTCAATTTTCCCTGTTAAGATTATCCTACCTGTTTCCTTTCTTCTTCTCGTTCTTTGTACAATGCACAATGTCTCGAGTGCCGTGTCCTCGTCCCTTGACAAAGCGGGAACAGGTACATTCTCAAAGTAAAGTAAACAGACTTTAGAAGTTGCTAACAAGCGTTTCTTCCTCGCAGTTTAGAGCTACAATGCGTGAAAGGAGAGCGAGGAGCCTAACGAAAGAAAGATCGCAAAGAGAAAAAGTCGCAAGGATTTCAGGTGAGCAAAGTAGCTCCTAGGGGAAGCATTTTCTCGCGGAGTTTTTTGACTGCTAATGGACAGGGAGAAAGCGCCGAGTGCAAGGATCTAGGCCGTTGCTTTGGTGGGGGTGGCTATGGAGGAGGAGGAGGAGAGCGCAATATTTAGCGAAGAAAAGGCAAGAGCACATGCCGTCTCTTTGTTTGTTGCTCCTGACACTGTACATTGATCTGTCCCCTTCAGATTCGAAAGCGGTGGTGGGATGGATCCAAATCCGCTCGCTCTTTGGCAGGGAAAACGCAAAAAAAAAACGACACTTTCCAGTCGAGCGACCCCGCAAAATCCACCAACGTCGTTCGTTGCGCTCCAGCCAGCCTCGGATCTACCAAAGAATCAGCTACATGATCACGAGATGATCGAAGAGAGAAGATAACGATTCGAGCGCTGCGAATCTCTGATGGGGCCGGAAAATTGTCCTTTTTTCTCTCGCTCAATTATACTGCGCAATTCATGGCGCGTTTTGGACCAACTTTTATTCACATTGAAAGATTGCTCGCTGTCGCCATGATCACAGAAGCTCTCGCCATGATCATAGAAACGGTAGCAAAGGAAACTAAAAGAGGCTCTATCGTTTTGAATTGTGGCTGCTAGAAGCTATAGAACACAGCCCCCGTGCCCGATCGATCGCGATCCCGCTCGAACCAGCGGGTCACCAGAGCACCCAATTCAGAGCTGCAGCGACCCACAAGCCCAGAATCGCGAAACTCGCCAGGGAGCTCGCGGGAATTGGCGGCGGCGTGGAGGAGGAGTAGCCATTCTGGACCTTGATGTAGGCGGTGATGGTGTCGCGGCTGCGCACGGGGATGAAGGGGATGCTCTGGACGGGAATGTAGTCGTGGTACTGGTAGCAGGAGGAGGTGGGCGCATCAAACACGACCGCGGAGCAGGAGCAATCGTTGGTGCACGAGTCGAGGCAGTCGGCGGGCGAGCAAACCGTTGGAGCCTTGGAGGTGATGTTGAAGTACGTGACATAGGCGATGTGGAGATACGTGAAGGCCTTGCCGGTGTCGAAGATGCACGAGTAATTGTGATCCCATTTCCCCTCCAGCGACACCCCTGCTGCGGCTGGACTCGCGGATTTGCTGCTTGGTTCTTCCGGGAGGATCCTCGCCTGACTCAGAGCTCTTCCAGAGGCTTGGAGCGCCGAGAATTTCCAGAGGATGAGAAGGGAGAGGAAGAATTTCGATCTGGCGGTGGTGGTCATGGATGGATCTTTGGTGTGATCTATCTACACTTGTCACTACTGCTTGGAGTGTTTCTATCTATCCGTGCGAGGAGAAGAGAAATTCTCACGCTATTCTTGCAATTGACGTCGCCATTCGAGGGAGGGAGAGCGAGAGAGGAGAAGGGGGCAGGAAAAATTCAAGCGATGGCAGAGGGGTGTAGGTAATGCCCGATTTGAGGAAACGATTAGAAAATAAATTTAATCAAGTGGAAAACGTACGTAGAAAATGGCCGTTGCTTTTTATGAATGGATGACGTGTACAAGGATGTACAACGTGGAGTCCATGTCACTGCACCTGTCACCACGCGGAGATTTAGTCTGCATCTTCGCCAACTTTTCAATTTCAATTCTTTTCACCTTATCATGCCCATTAAAAAAGAAAAGCTTCTTCTTCTTTGTTGGCAGCATCCTGTTCTGTGCAAATCTGGAGAGCAAGCAAGTATTTCATGTTTACCTCCACAGTGCTCCATCCCTCTCCTACACAATAAACAGCAGAATTAACCACCACTTAGAAACAATTGCAAAGATCATTACCAAGATATATAATTCATACCACCCAAAAAGTGCAAACAGTCTAACTTGCCCCTATTTGCCAATGTGCTTACAGAATATCTTGGCTTTCATAGTCAAGTTCTTTTAGAGTACGTAGAAGTAACTATATAGGGGAGGTTAGGCAAATCCAAGGCTACCCAACTCACTGGTCTAATCCATTTATGTTAAAAGCTTAGTAATCAATTTCTAGGTTGAGTCATGAATATAAAAATTTTGTGAGGTTTGAGAATCTTGTATCTGTATATATTTAATGGTGAAATGCAATTATGTGTTATCAAAGTGTGGCATGACACCTTAGCAATAGAGCACTTTAGTATCCAAAAGATATTAGAATTGGTTTAACAATAATTTTGATAACCCCATATGCTCAAATATGTTGAAAACTTTGTTTATACCTATGATATATGTCAGGAAATTAAAATGTCGTGATATGCTTCAAACTAAAATGTTGTGACATGTTTTTTTTGTCTTGTCCAACCTTTTCCTTTTAATCTAAGGACTTAGATCTTTCACCTTCTTGAGGATTTAACATTGTTTTTATTGTGGTTATTCTTGTTATGGCCAACTCATTTTTCAAAATCTTTCTGAGGATTTGATAAAGTTTTTTGTTGTGGTTGACTAGTCTAAAATGGCACATTTTCTTGCCATGTCATAAAACAATTGATAGAGAACAACTAGTTTAACTTATTTATAAAAAGATCATAAGTACTACAAATCCAATACCAAAGGTAAGCAAAACTCTCTTCCTTGATCACTTGGAAAAGTGATTTTTGGATTTGCTTCACGATCAATGGCCACACTTCAATCTGGTGCTCATCATGAATATGGGTGGAATGGGCAACGTTGTGAGCAATCTCAATGGCTAGGCACTCTCCTTCCACATCACCACCACTGATGGCAAGATTCTCATTGCCTACAATGCTGTGTCTGGGAACTGGCAATGGAGAACTTACACAGGCAACATCGCCTCAATGCAATCCTGTCCCTTGCCAGCATCAAGTGGAAGATCACTAGCACTTTCTCAAGATGCCCAGCACGGGCAAATATGGCGAACAATGCGGTCTAGAAGACAAGATTGTGCTGAGGCATCAGGTCGAACAAAGAGTTGGACTCTCGTAGCTCTCCGTGATGCGTGCTCGCCGTCAAGACTGCGTTCCAGGAGACCAGGTTGCGATCAGGCACGGCATAGAAGATCTCTTTGAAATTTACAAGATACCCCTTAGCGGCAAGTGCTGTAACCACTGTGTTCCACACGAAGAGATCGTGCTCCAGCACGCGATCAAAACAATTTTGTGCTTCGGAGAATTTCCCACATTGACAGTACGCAGCTAGCATTGCATTCCACGAAACAATGTTCCTCTGCGGCATATCATTTTTGCTTCTGCTGTGGTTGGCATATGCTGCAAAGATGGCGGTCCACGACAACTGAGGAATCCAAGCGCTTGTTTGATTCCATGCCGCAGCGCGATCATGTCTCCTGGAATGCGGTGCTCGGGGCCTACGCCCATAATGGCCACTGGGACGAGGCCGTGGCGCGCTTCTCCGCCATGCCCGCTCTGCGAGTACGGTCATCGCGGCATGATCCACCACGCGAGCGATGCTGAGCACCTATGCCCGTAACGGGAATCTTGATGAGGCTTGGCATATCTTTGACTGGATGCCGGAACGCGATGTTTTTTTCCTGAACTCAATCCTCTCAGCAAATGCCCAAATCGGGCATCTGGAACATACGAAGTTTCTGTTTGATACAGAAATTTGTTTATTAAAGGCCAGATAAAGATCCGATTGCCTGGAACGCGATGATTTCGGCCTATGCGCATAAAGCGCGGTGGATCTGTATGGTGCGATCAAGGTTGAAGAGGAGAGACCGGGCGATCGTTGCTTCACCTTGGTTCTTCTCGTGTGTGGACGCACTGGAACAGTTTGGGGTGGCTTCGTTGCTTCGCGGAGATGGTGGTCGATTATGGGATCGTTGCAAACAAGCTCCAGTACCGATGTATGATCGATCTCTTGAGCAGGGCCGGGCATCTGAGAGAGGCGGAGGAGCGTATCGCAAGCATGCCATTCGAGGCGGAGGTGATGGACTGGCGATGTTTGCTGGGTGCATCGACGAGCTACAGCAATTTGGAACATGGTGCTCACGCAGCTAAGGCTCTCTTGGGTGGCCAAAACGACCTCCTTGCGCGGTGAAAGATGGAGCGCCCAGGAAAAGTATGATCTTCTCGAAGAGTAGAAGGTTGGCTGAGAGTTTGCAATGAGGCGATGGTTGCTCTAGCTCTAAGAACTGGATCGCCCTGCTGTTCCGGCCCCGACCTCGACGATTCGAGGGCGAGATATCGCTCCAACTTGCTGATTCACAGGTATGGGAAGCTTGGAAACCTGGAGCTTGCGCGCGAGGCTTTTGAGGCCATCAAGCATCCCAATGTTTTCTCGTGGAACCTTTTCATCGCGGCGTGTATTGACAATGGGAACTTGCGGGAAGCAAGAGAGGTGTTTGACAGGATGCCTGCGACGGACAAGGACATTGTGTCCTGGAACACAATGCTGCGTGGGCATTTCCAGCTCGGTAACCTTCGTGAAGCTATGGCGGTGTTTCAAAAGATGCCGGAGAGGGACGTCGTTTCGTGGACTACTGTTCTTGCTGCAAATGCCCAAGAAGGGCATTTTGACGTTTCAATCGCCTTGTTTAATACGATGCCCGTACGTAGCGTGGTCAGCTGGAATACTCTTTTGCAAGCGTACACATTGTTCAAAAAGATGGAAGAGGCTCGCGATTTGTTTTTCTGCATGCCTTACCGAGATGTTTCAACGTGGAACACAATGATAGCTGGAAATGCCGTAGCGGGGCATTGTGCTGAGGCTCAAACATGCTTTAAATCCATGCCAGAGATGGACGTGGTTTCTTTCACGGCAATGATGAAGGCCTTTGGCGAGGCTGGGGACTTGCAAGGAGCGCAAAAAGTATTTGATTCCTCTCCCGCAAAGAACATCGTGTGCTGGAGCGCCATGGTAACCGCGTATGCCCAGCGTGGGCATCTGGAAGATGCTAAGTGCCTGTTTGACAGGATGCCCGAATGGAACACGGTGGCCTGCTCGGCCTTGATCTCGGCCTACGGCCAACAGTTCCATCTCGAGGCAGCCACGCAGGTGTTCTTCGAATACATGGCTGAGTGGAGCACGGTTTCCTGCAATGCTCTCTTGACCGCTTACTCCAAAAGCCGCCACCTCGAGGCAGCCATAGCGATGTTCGACGCCATAGCCTACCGTAATGTGGGATCCTGGAACTCGCTGCTCGCAGCCTACGCCGATAACGGGAGTCTCGAGAACTCAGCGAAGGTATTTGCAATGATCCCCGACCGCGATCCCGTGTCCTGGAGCTCCATGATCACAGCCTACGCTCGATCCGGGCGCTGCAACGAAGCCACCCAAACCACCCAGCTGATGCAGCTCCAAGGCTTGGCGCTGGACAGCATCGCATTCCTGGGCATCCTCAACGCTTGCAAGCAACGGGGGCTCTTGCGGGAGGCTTACTCGTACCTGGGGCTCATGGTGGCGGAGCACGGCATGGAAGCGTCGGCGGAGCACTATGGAGCGGTCGTCGACGCCCTCGCCGGATCGGGGCTCTTGGGCTGCGCCGAGGAGCTCGCCGCCAGCCTGCCGCTGGGATTGGACGCCGCCGGGTGCGCGTCACTGCTGGGAGCTTGCCGGATCCACTGGGACGTGAGCCTTGGAAGGCGGGTTGCGCGAAGGATGAGCTCCAGCAGCCCCGCGCTCTACGTAACACTCTCCAATGCATATAGCAGCTGAAAATCTCCGCTTGTCAAAAGGCTTGAGCGAGAGGGATTTCTGCTAGTGCTGGTGGTGATAGTGGTGGAGTGAGAGTGAGAGTTTTGCTTCTTCTTGAGCGCCTCCGCCGCCAAAAAAAAAAAAACAAAAAAAAAATGGTGGATGTGTCCCAGAAATCTACGCGACCTTGCTTCATCAAGCAAATGCCCAAACACATCAAGGATTGACTTATTCCCTGAGGATGAGGAGCACCAACTGTTTAGCCGGCAATTCTTAGCTCGAGCATCTCTTCTCTATCGTTTTGCCCTATAAATTTCTATTCTCATAGTCGGCGGCGCGCCGACTATGTGGTTTCACTCGCTACTCTCCCTTTTGCTGCTAGTCCCACTGCGATCCATCCGCGCGCACCAAGAATGCCCCTCCTCCTCTGCTGGCGATGCCGCGATCGCAAACTCCACGCTCTCTAGCATCGGCGATGGCGAGGACATTCGAGAATGGCTGGTTGGAATCCGGCGGCGCATCCACCAGCGCCCAGAGCTGGGCTTCCAAGAGTTTGAGACGAGCGCGCTCATCCGGGCGGAGCTAGACGCGCTGGGCGTGCCGTACGAGTGGCCGGTGGCGGGCACGGGAGTGGTGGCCACCATCGGTACGGGTGGGCCGCCCATCGTGGCCCTGCGAGCCGACATGGACGCCCTCCCTCTCCAGGTAATAAAGCAAATCTTACTTCTCCCGACTTGGTAAAACTCACCGCGAAATTCTCTTTTTGCCAAGGAGCTGGGCAATTCCGAGTACAAGAGCCAGGTGGCCGGTAAAATGCACGCCTGTGGCCACGACGCACACGTGGCGATGCTGCTGGGTGCCGCGCGGCTCCTTTCCCGCCCCGCCGCGGTACCGCGCGGCACAGTCCGGCTGCTCTTCCAGCCCGCCGAGGAGGGCCTCTACGGCGCGCTGGCCATGGTGGAGGGTGGCGCGCTGGGTGACGCCCAGGCCATCTTTGGCATCCACGTCACCTCCGAGAGGCCGGTGGGTACCGCCAGCAGCCGCGCGGGACCCCTCCTCGCGGGCGCCGGGTTTCTCACCGCTACCATCACCGGACGTGGAGGCCACGCCGCCTTGCCGCACAAGACGATAGATCCCATTCTCGCAGCATCGATGGTGGTGGCTAGTCTCCAGCAGCTCGTCTCCCGCGAATCCAATCCTCTCGAGAGCGAGGTAAACTCTTCACATTTCAATGGTATGACTGTACCGCGCGGTACCGCACGCTGCACAGGTCGTGTCCGTGACGTCCATCCAGACCCCCGACTCTTTCAACGTCATTCCTTCCACGGTGACGCTCAAAGGGACTTTCCGGGGCTACAAGAAAGAAGGCCTCGAGCGACTGAAAACCAGAATCGAACAGGTTGGTTTCTCGTCCTAGCTTTGCTTGATCTTCCATCTAGATCTTCTCCGCAGCAGATCTTCTCGTCCCAAGTTTGCTTGATCTTCCATCTCGATTTGCTTGATCTTCCATCTAGATCTTCTCGTCCCAAGTTTGCTTGATCTTCCATCTCGATCTTCTCGGCCAACTTTGCTTGATCTTCCATCTGGTTCTTCTCGTCCCAACCTTGCTTGATCTTCCCGATCTTCTCAACTTTGCTTGATCTTCCATCGATCTTCTCGGCTTCGCAGGTGATCACCAGCCAAGCTTCCGTGCATCAGTGCTCGGCCAGCGTAGATATCAGTAACTTGCAACCCGCCACCTCCAACGATCCGGAGCTCTACCACTTCTTCCAGGGAGTCGCGAAGGATCTCCTGGGAGAGGACAAAGTGACCGAGATGGAGCCTACCATGGGAGCCGAGGACTTTGCTTTCTACTCGGATCACGTCCCAACCATGTTCTTCTTCCTGGGAAGTGGGAACGACGCCGAAGGATTCGACAACCGGCCACACTCCCCATACTTCGACTTGGACGAGGATGTTCTACCGATTGGAGCGGCCATGCACGCGGCGCTCGCGACAAACTACATTGAAAAGACAGCCACAGTTAGTGACATCTAAGTTAAATTCAAGCGTCGAAACCTCAGCCTTGTATGGAAAAGAAAAACTATTCACAGAAACTTATATTCAAGTCAGTAACAACCCAAAATCTCCTCCAGCAACAAAGGAAGTTACCTCGAGCACCAAAGCAGTAGCATAGCTAGATAGATCTACACGAAGGAATCGATGCTTTTATAGGTAGACGTGCCGAACGTCACCCGCGCCAAATCCTACTCCGCAACCCGGGCATTTCCTATGCCTTATTTCCAGATTCCTCTGAATACACGGGTTGCAGAATAGATGGAGGCACTTCGTAATCGCCACCTGAAACACGGAAAAGAGGCCCCTGAGAAACACAAACAATCGATGAAGGTGAATGTACACGTACCTCTTTCTGTCGGTCGTGGCAAACGCTACACTTTAGTAGCGTCCTGTATTTGTTTACTTCTTCCTGCAGCTTCTCCACCAGTGCGTTCTCTTGAGCAGTGGTATGCTTGGTTTTCAGTACGGTCAGTTCATTCTCAAGTTGCTTCTTCTCAAACCTGCAGCAAGCGAATTCAATACAAAAGCCAGTAAATGTAGACAGCGTACCTTTCGTTCTCCAGTACTACCAGGACATCGTTCGTCTTTTCTCCACGTTCTCGGAGCTCTTTGTCAGAAACTTCCAAAGCGGATCTTAACGATTGGACCTCCCTCTCTGCCTCCGCCAATTTGCGCCGAGCGACCTCCACAGCTGAATTACTGTGCCGAGTCTCATCAGCTGCCTTGGTAAGCTGGTCCAGTTGTAGACGAACCTACACAAGAAATAGAATGTTAATGTAACGAAAATGACGATAACAATTGAGAAAAACCTGCTCTTCGAAACGAGCAGCCCTTTGCTTTTGCAAGTCGGCTGCAGACGTTGCAAGCTGCATCTTCCCAGATATCGACTGTTTCTCAGCAACAAGAGAGGTCTGCAACTGTTTTGCTTTCAAGCTTTCCGCCACAAGCTGTAAGCGGAAAATTAGTCTCATTTCTAGCTCACGTGAATCTAAGAAACCTTTGTATTGTAATCATCCCTTTCGGATATCTGCTGCAAAAGCCTTTGGTTTTGAGTCTGCATGTCTTCATATGCTTGCCCGATAGTCTGTTTAAAAAGAAAATTACAGACATAAATGAAAGAAAACTAAAAATCTTACCTCGATTTCAGATATGTAAGCATCTCCTTCTTCACTTTTTGCCTTAATAGTTTCTAGCAGCTCCATCTTATCTCTGAAAAACAGTGTAAGAATGTCTAAAAGTTAAAAGTGCCACAATGAACCTGTCAGAAACATCCAAGCGTTCGCGAAGTTCAGCAATTTCTGCTTCAGCTGCCGCAAGTCTTTGCTGGCAGGCGGCCTCCGCCTCATTCGCTGTCTTTACGCGAAGTTCAAGGCTGTGTTCATCCAAGGCCTCCTGTAAACGTTGTATTTGGGCTCGAGCTCTACATTCTGATTGCTGTATTTCTAGAATATCCCTGCAGAGAAAGCACAAGATTAACAAGCTTTTGAAGAAAGAGAGTTGAAGGGCAACAGCACACCTGCTTTCTATTGACTCCTTTTCATACATATCTAGTATAAGCTTCAACTCCTGCTCGCTTTCTTTGAGAACGCGAATCTGTAATCGACCAATACCGTAAGAATCTGACGAAAGATAGCAGTACTGACCTCTTCTTTGAACACGTCTGCCTCAATAGCCTGATCTGCTAGCTTCTTCGAAAGATTTTTAAACTCGAATTTCTGTCAAAACGTTTATATATAAAGGATTCTTGTAATCATAGAGAATAGTACCTTTCTTTCAAGAACCGCTGCCATAGAATGGGAGTCTGCTCGAAGACTGCACACTTCATGGGCAGCATCTTTGTATTTGTTAAGCTGCAGTTGCATCATCCCCATCTCCTTGTGAAGTGTACTTATCATTAGCTTGAGCTCCGCAACAGTGTCCTTTCTTCCTGAGGTTATAAAAAAGAATAAGCAATCATAGAAAGGTCCCAAAACTCATACCAGAAAGCTGATTTAATTCTTCGACTCTTAGCTGTAAATCATCTCTATCGGCCATACATTGTTGTAACTTCGCCTCCAAAGCTGTGATCCTCGATTCCGCAACAGCTACGTCCCTCCGGGCAGCTTCTCCAGCTTCAGCTTTCAGGCTCACTTCTTTCTCGTGTCGTAATGCACTATCACGCTCAGCCTACAGCAGAGTTCTGGCACTTCAACACACTGGAAAATGGATGCCAGTCGGAATGACTTCTTATGTAGCTAGAAAAACGAGTTCTCACCTGAAACCGTTCCGCATTTGCTTGGCATCGGTCGAGTTCCGCCTTGAAGAACTTCAACTGATCTTGGAGTAGGAGGTAGGGCCTCGACGATATAACCCGTTGCTCGTCAATATGAGAATCCTGTGGGTGTGAATTCAGTGCCACTGAATATAGCATAGCAAAGTAATGCGAAAACCTGTAATCGGCGTAGTTGCTCTGCCAGGTTGAGATTCTTTTGATGTGCCTCTTGAAGATCAACGAGCCGGCACTCCGATAAAGCCTGAAATCAAAGCAGTAAGAAACTGAGAACCAACACGTTGTACATACCTTAGTTCTTTCTAAAAGCTCTTCAAGATCTCTAATATCTTTCGACGTCTTATACACTCCACCCTTTTCCCCTGGTTCTTTTGTCACAGCACCAGGTGTTGGCGGCCCTGGTGGCAAATCTTTCTGATTCCTTAAAGCAGCAGCGAGCTTTCGCCTACTCGTGTCCAGTTCTGCTAGTGTATCTTCCAGCTCACCTGAAAGATGCCGACCCTCAGCGTAGCACTAAAACATATAAAAACTAGCTTACCAGTTAATCTTCCTATTTCAGCTCGATCCTTCAAGCGGGAATCCTCCATAGCCGTCATTGCAGAGCTAATTTCTTTATGCTTGAGATGGAGTGCTTCCATCGCTGTTCTCAAACTTTGAGTTTCAACCAGCAAATCATCATGAGCCTTTTGAAGGGCCTTTCCAGCAACTGAACAATGAAAGCATAAAAAACTGGACAAACACCACTTGAGATACATACCATCAGAAGATAGTTGATTCTTTAACATGGAGGTGAGCTCGTCATGCTTAGCGCGTTGGGATTGAATAACCTGCACTATGTAGCTCATCGTTTTCACAGTGGAGGCCCTTCTACTGTTTAAAGCCGCATCGAGGGTGTCACCTTCCGTAGATGCTGAGGAGCGAACTAAGCGCTGTAAAAAAGTTTCCTCCGGAATTACGGACGATGTATCCGGCTTATCTGCAACTGAACGGCATTTGTCAGCCTATCCATGTAAGTGGAATATTTCTTACCACTTGACACTGGCGGCGCTACCTCCAGCACCGGTAGCTCGGTAGTACCATCAGGATGAGCATTTACGGCTAGTAGCTCCAAGTCATCCACTAGCTATAGAAAAGAACGAGTCAGACATAGAAACCAAACAAACAACAATGAAAGATAAAAAGGACCGCTTACCTCCTTCCAGCACCTATTCACCGAAATAAGCGTCTCATCAAAAGAAGTTTGTTTTGATTTAAGCTGGTTGAACTTATCCTCCAGAGCGTGTATCTCACTTCTTTGAGCGTCAAGCTTCTGAGCGAGTTGCTGGTTTTGGTACTGAAGCATTCCCGGGTCCGCCTATACATGCACAAAGAAGCATTAGAAAAGTAGAAAGACCAACAATAAGAAGAAGACCAAACCTTTCTCTCCTCTAAAACTGGAGCCATGGGCTGCTGCTTCTTTGGCGGTGGCGAGAGAGACGTGTGATTGTTGGAATGCCTTCGCTTGCGCTCCGACTCCTCAGTGCTACCCATTCGGCTCCCACTACCCCTACTGGTACCTGCGTTGCTCGGACTGGCGGCGCTACTCCTCCAAGCAGCCTCATCAATCGCCAGTGGCGACTTGGCCACCGACGACCGAAGCGCTTCCACAGACGGCTCCAGGGCGGCGAAAGCGAGACAAGATTTCGACAGTCTCCTCAAGCGCCATACCCTACCTCAAGCCCTAGCTATGGCGCCGCAGCGCCATGCCGCCGGCGACTACTCCGGGCAAAGCGCCATTCCCGTGCCGGAGCGCTGCCCTAGGGTCGGAATGGCTATGGCGCCGCCGCCGCCCAACCAGTACAGATGGAAAATGAATGAAGGAAAGAATTCCAATCCCCTCTAAGTCTCTGCTTGCATGAATTGCCCGCCCGTCATGCGCCGTTGATCTGCGGGCATCCAACACTCACAAACGCGCCACGACAAATGTGAAGGACTTTGAAGGGCGTTACCGGCAATGCTTCTATTTCCATTCCAGAATGAACTATGCCCTCCATCGCCGGAGAGATTTTTCTGGCAGCCACGTGGCACAACCCTCGCGGTCCAAATTAGGTTACGCGTTTCCCAGATTGCAGCCGCTAGCTCCAACGGTCCCGATTCGCGGGAGCCATCGTTTATATAGACCATCGGGGATTAGGGTTCTTCGTGGTCTGTGATGATCTCTCTTGTGGCGAGTTGCGAGTAGAGACGATGCCTTGCTTCGCGCAAGGGAACCCATTCATCTCCTCGCATCTCTGTGAATCGCCCATCCTCTATTTCTGAGACCCTAAAATCTCCTTTGTGGAATTCGATTTTTTTTCTCACGGACAGATGATGAATCCATGTAAGGTCTCGTTCGTCTGAGTGAAAAGCTCTCGCGCTTTTCCTGACGACAACGATTTATATCACCACCCATAGACTGATGTCCGCGTTTTTTCGATCTAGATTTCGCTCTCACACCTCGACATTCTCCTTGGCCGTTGTCTTCTTCACTGCTTCGGTTTCTTCCGAGGATCCGGGAACTTTTTCTTCTTCCTCGGCGGATTTCTTCGCTGTGAGCTCGGTCTGGAATTCGTCCGCTGCCTGCCCATGACAACAAAACCAAATGAGGCCGCGAGATTCACGAAAAGATCTCTTTTTTACTTGTTGGAAGCTCTTGACAGTCTTGCCGAGGCTCTTCCCAATCTCTGGGAGCTTCTTGGGCCCAAAAACCAGCGCCGCCACTCCGGCGATCACGACGAGCTCGGGCACGCCAAGCCCAAACAGCGCCATCACTCTGGCAGTCCGTCTCGTTGCTAGCATCGAATTGCCGCTCCGCGCTCTCAGCCGCAGCACGCCATCGCCAAAAACCTCACGAGACGTCAACGAAGCTCCTGCGCCATGACAATCCAATTCGAATCCTTCGTTTCATCCAATCGTCTCGGATCGAATTTACCTGGAACAAATGCGCTCGCTGCCGCATTGCATCGCGCCGCTGACGGCAATGGCGTGCTCCTCGCGATCGCAGCGGCAGGCCGGGCTTGGATTGGCAACACCGCCATCGCCATCGCTAAAACCCTAGAATATTATCCCCGCGCCATTAGACCGCCATGAGGAGGAGAGAAAACGCTACACATGGAACACGAGCTAGCTTGCCCGAGAGGTCCAAGGGGGGTGACTTAAGATCACCTGCACGTAGTGCGCGTGGGTTCGAACCCCACAGCTAGCAAGATTTTGGAAATTTGTCTCCCGCGAATCGATCACAAAACCTCCTTACTCACAGGTTCCTCTCCCGCGAATCGATCGCAAGACCTCCTTCACTATTCCAACGAATAGATTTGAGGAGCATTTTCAATGTGACTAGGGTTGGCGGGAATGAGGGACTCGTCCCTTCTCTACGCGGTGGCGACCATTTCTTTCGAGCCTGTGGGAGAGCTCGGCGATGGATTCCAGCCTTTTGCTTATGGATCGCTGCCTGTTTTTGGTTGCTGGGATCAAGCTCGAGCTGTAAGTTTCTGGATGATTGATGGATGGATTGATGGATTGATCGATTGATGGATTTGAATTTAGGTCCCACTGGAGCGGCTATCTGCCCGGAACTGGGAGTTGAGTTGCGTCCTGCCATCGTTTGATATCCATGGTAGCATTTTCTTTGTTTCAATCTTGTTTGATGGCTATTTTTCTTCTTGTAGAGGCTCCGGAGGTGATGTTCTTTGTGAAGAACGAGGAAAGTGTTCTACACGTTGATGGTTCTCATCAGCTCTTGGAAAACACAAGGTTGTGTTCCGGCTTTTACAGTCCAGGCTCTCCCATACAAATCCATATCTCGATAACTTTGGATCAAGTTTCTCCTTTTGCGCTCGGGAAGACCTGGAGACACTTTCAGTCGCGTGGATTTGCACCAGAGGTTTGTTCTTTTAGAATAGAAGAGCTCAAAGTTTTGTTTTCACAGGAGTCGGACGTGGATGGTTATGAAGTTCCATCCCCGAACTCTGAGACGCAGTACGTGGCAGATGCCGCTGAAGTTCCTCACGATCGTGAGATCGAACGCTCTGCATCTGTGCCAGTAAAACTTTTCCCACAGAATCTAAAGGATCGATGTGTGTCTATCAAGGTTAACTACAAGCTCTCATTTTCTATAATGCTTTCAACGTTTTATGCTCAGGATTTTGTGGTTTTGGGGTCCGAGAGAGAAAATGCTTGCGGGCCACCTGAAACAAGTGACAAGAATGAGAACAGACCAGATTCTAGGCCTGGAAGTCCTATCTCTTTGAGGCCCCAAGAACAACAGCTAGACCGCTCCATAAGCAGCTCTCCCGGACTTGTTCGCTTAGGCAGTGATGTGAGTGTGTTGAATGGAAGCATCGATGACCTTGAGAGCAAGGTACGTAGTTCTCCGAAGTTTTCCTTCTCCCGCGGTTGACATGAACTGTACAGGTCATGCCATCGGCAGCAGGAGCTGGAGCAGCTGGTGCGGTTGCCGATCGATTGCTTGGACCCAAAGAACGTCGTCGTCTTGCAATTGTTTTGGTACGCTAGAGCGAAATCTTCTTCTACCACTCTGTTAAATTCTGGGATTCGTGCCTTTCCAGGTTGGCTTGCCTGCGAGAGGGAAAACGTTTACTGCCGCGAAGTTGACGAGATACTTACGTTGGCTGGGACATGATACCAAGCACTTCAACGTTGGAAAGGTACCGTCTTCATCTCTGATGATAGCTTTTCGTGCCAACTGAGCTTCCACTATTTCATCGTGCAGTACCGTCGCCTTAAACACGGTTGCACTCAGGTAGTTGGATTTGCTACTAGTTTCTATGAGACCTTCTGAATTGAGTGCGATAACTAGAATGCGGATTTTTTTCGCTCAGACAATCAAGAAGGGATTGATGCGCGAAATGAGGTGACTGCACAAATTTTTCTATTTTAGTGTTGCTTATGATAGCAACAGCCTTCAACCTTGCCTTACAGGTCGCAGCTTTGGCCATGGATGACATGCTTTCCTGGATGGATGAAGGCGGCCAGGTGCGTTACTACAAATTCCATAAAAACTCTTAGCCTGTGTTTGTACTAGGTTGGCGTTTTCGATGCCACCAACAGCACAAAGTTGCGGAGGAAAATGCTTCTGACCATGGCTGAGGGAAAATGCCAGGTTTATATTCATATTTATACATTGACGCCAAACAGTGTCTCGGAAAGTACATATTGAAACAGGTCATCTTTTTGGAAACGATTTGCAAAGATCCAGCAGTGATTGATCAAAATATTCGCCTCAAAATTCGCAAGAGCCCGGATTACGCTGATCAGTAAGTAAGCCTTGTTTTCCCTTCAACGTCCAGCTCTCTCCACAACTGAGCTGGTGATCTTTATGTTGTTCAGACCTGACTATGAAGCAGCTCTAGCAGATTTTAAAGCTCGTCTCGTAAATTACTCCAAGGTACATGTCTAAATGATGGAGCGGTGTAAGATTTCCGAGAGTTATTGCAGGCTTATGAACCGGTTGATGAGGGGTCATACATTAAGATGATTGACATGGTTAGCGAACAAGACGGACAGATGCAGGTACTAAATCTCATTTAGAATGTTCCGAGCAGTGCTTGCTTGTTTCTCTGGCCAGGTAAACAACATCAGTGGATATCTTCCTGGCCGAATAGTATTTTTTCTGGTGGGACTTTTCATAGCTTTGCAAGATAGAGTGCATAACTGTCTGGGTAACAACAGGTAAACACTCATCTCACTCCTCGTCCGATTTTACTGACACGCCATGGCGAGAGCATGTTCAATCTCAATGGTCGCATTGGGGGTGACCCAGAGCTGAGGTAAGTTCATGCTTTCTTCTGTTGCTCTTGTGAACTGTGTGCTCTTCAGTGCTACAGGAGACATATATGCAACCAAGCTCGCGAGTTTCGTTCATAAGCGTCTCAAATCGCAGCACTCGGCATCGGTGAGCCTTGTTCCTCTCCTTCATTATTTAAAAAAAGAAATTTCTGCAATGCTCAGATATGGACGAGTACCCTACGAAGAACCATTCTCACTGCCACACACATCACCGGATTTCCAAAGGTAAATCTTTTCTCGAAAGTTTGATTGTCCGGCCTTGTATAGAAACATTTATAACGAGGCTGCATTAACAGGTCCAGTGGAGAGCTCTCGACGAGATTGACGCGGGAATATGTGATGGCATGACATACGAGGAAATAAAAGAGACAATGCCGGACGAATACCAGTAAGTGAGCGCTCCACTTTCGCAATTTAAAGTTTTGATGCTTGATATCTACTACTTTCGCAGGTCAAGGAAGCTAGACAAGCTTCGATACCGTTACCCGCGGGGAGAATCGTACCTCGACGTTATCCAGAGGTAAGGGAAAAAAAATAAAAAATAAAAAAATAGCACAGGAAAAATAAAAACAAAACGTCTTTGCAACTACGTAGGCCTAGTGCGTTACACTTTGGCTGTTAGAGAAAGTAAAGGAAGCTCTTTCAGGTTGGAGCCAGTTATTGTGGAGCTGGAGCGACAACGATCCCCAGTTGTGGTGGTAGCGCATCAAGTAAGCTTTAGATCCAAAAGATTCGAGACTGCCATCATGGTTTTTTCTCTCTTCCTTTTGCTTAACACATCCTCACTCACAGGCAATACTTCGCTCGCTGTATGCCTATTTCACTGACAAGCCACTAGACGAAATTCCACACATTGAGGTGAGTGAGTGGAATTTATCTAGTCAATATGATCTGGCCAAGTTCCTTCTTTAAGCTTCTGCTTCCTTTGTGTGCCAGATGCCTCTTCACACTATCATTGAGATCCAGATGGGAGTCCCAGGTGTACAAGAGAAGCGATACAAGCTCTTATAATGTATAATGTATAGGGGCCATTGTTTACTTACTATCACAGTGGAGAAAAATTGGTTTGTATGGTTTGGTTTTGATTGATTAGCATGGTTCCGACCTTAGCTCAGTTGGTAGAGCGGAGGACTGTAGTGCTCACAGACATCCTTAGGTCGCTGGTTCGATTCCGGCAGGTCGGACACTTCTTTTTTTTCGCTCCTCTGTAAAGCTTTGATCCACGCCTTGTGTTTTTTTTCTTGGTGTGGCTATATTTCATTTTGGGAGGGAGAGAGCGCGAGCGTTTCGTGGCGGCCAAATGCAAGAACGATCTTCCTCTTCCTCGTCTTCGTCTTCGCGCTGGTGTTGTGGAGCCGCTTCCGCCGCTAGAGAGGAAGATCACGAATCAGGTGAGGCATTCTTTCTTCCGGATCGCGCTGTTCTTGTTCTTGATCTCGGCTTTCTTGCTCGAATTCTTGCCAGACATGGCGGCGGCGCAGTCGCAGAAGTGGAGCTACTTCTCTAACAAACCGCAGTGAGTGGTAGTGTGGATTTGTGAGCGCTCCCAGCTAGCGGCATTTCCTTTCCCTTGGATTTCTTCCTCTCCTCTTTCTTTCTCCTCTCGAAATATCCCAGCGCGGGGCTTGCTAGAGCGGAAATCTCTCCTCTTTCTCCCTGTGTGTGCTTCGTTTTGCAAGAAATTCTCGCGGACTGACTAAAATGGGTGGATCTGCATTGGAATCGCTGGGCAAAAGCCTCAAAGAGACGCTCCACAAGGCCTCCTCGGACAGCGACAAGCGGCGGCTCACGGCGGACATGCAGAAGCTAGTGTGGGCGCAGCAGCGCCAGGAGCCAGCGGCGCCGCCACCGCCACCGCCAGGAACCACCGACGCCGCCAGCGATCCCGACCAAAACGACGAGATGGTTAAGGCGGTGGACACCATCCAGGCCAAGGAGGAGGAGATCGAGAAGCGCAAGGCCGAGGTCCACCAGAGGGTCCAGGCAAAGCTTAGCAAAGTGGAGCTGGAAGCTCGCAGCTTGGACAACCTCCGCCGGGTAAGAAAGCTGGAAATCCTCTCTTCCTTCTCTTCGTCACTCTTCTACTCTTCTCGGAGTTGGAAAAGTTCTAAAGTTCTTCATACTCTTCTACTCTAGAAAGCTGGAAATCCTCTCTTTCTCCTCTTCGTTTGTTCTAAAGTCCTCAAGTTTTCATACTCTTCTACTCTTCTTGGAGCTGGAAAAGTTCTAAAGTTTTTCATACTCTTCTAGAAAGCTGGAAATCCTCTCTTCCTTCTCTTCGTTCGTTCTAAAGTCCTCAAGTTTTCATACTCTTCTACGCTTCTAGGAGTTGGAAAAGTTCTACAGTTCTCTAACTCTTGGGACTTTTTTCTTCCAGGAGTTGGAAAATCTCGAGGATCCGACGAGGAAGGAAGTCGGGGAGATCCGCAAGAAGATTGAGGCGGTGGACCGGGAGCTCAAGCCGCTCAAGCAGCAGTTTGACAAGAAGGTACTCGTTTCCTCCCTTCCTTTTCTTGCTCCTTGTGTGCGCTTGGTTTGCCGAGGATCCATGCTACAATGTGTGCAGGAAAAGGAGTTTAAAGATGCCTCCAAGGCCCTCGACGACAAGGTGAAGCTCAAGGCCTCGCTCGTGAGCAAATTGATGGAGGTAAAGTTCTTGGTTGTCTCTTCTCACAACTTTTACAAGCCCGAGCTCGTTCTTCCAGGTTGTGACCGAGAGCGAGGCCGTGAGGATGAAGAAGCTCAACGAGCTCTCCAAGAGCTTCGATGATATGGACACCGCCGCGCTCGTTGCCAGTGGTGGAGCTTGAGATCCACTCTCGAGCTCGCAAATCCACGAACTCACAACAAACACTTCACAGGTGAAGATACTACACACACACACACACACACACTTACTCGTCGCAAATTCCTTCCTTTTTTTCTCGCTTTCACTTCTCCTTGCTTTGGCGGATTACATACATAGCTCGTGATCAAGATCAAGAAAAAAAAAAGAAAAAAAAAAGAAAAAAGCCGCAGCGATTTTGTTGGTGTTTTCCTTTTTGTGATACGGAGCCTGGCTGCACTCCTCCTTTCGCGTCTGTGACACACAAACTTTATCATACAGTAAGAAAGAAATGCCCAGACGTTTCCAAAGTGTGGATTTTTTTGTTTCTTCCTTGTCACTGGAATGGAATCTAGCTTTGCTTGGATGGAGATAGATCCTTGCTATGTTCTTCAGTCTAGTTTTGGATCTTATCTTCCAACTTTCCTGGAGAGCTGGAGATCCTTGCTATGTTCTTCAGTCTAGTTTTGGAAGATAGATCGTTGCTATGTTCTTCAGCCTAGTTTGATCTTATCTTCCAACTTTTATGGATTAAGTTTGCTCGATTCTTCCTGGAGAGTTTAACAAAGAGCTAGAGAGAATTCATTTGACCTTCCTGAGTAGCACGTAGAGGCGCTGATCCATTTGCAGCTCGTTAAGATGCTGTGGATCTCCCTTGAGTTTCATCAGCAATCCCCCAAACGACACATAAATGTCTCTGATCGAGCGAAGATTCGAGAGAGGTTTAAACAAAAGAAGGAAAAGTACGCTGGAAATACGTACACTTTGAGAGCGCCCGTGCTGTGGTCGTCGCTATACTTGTAGAGCTTACCGTACATGACGTAGTCGTAGCGATCCGCGAGCGACCTCTTGCCACTCTAAAGCAAAGCGAAGAAAGAGATATAAAAAAGGTGAAAAGCTGGGAATGGATGGAATGGAATTGAAAGCTACGCTAACTGGATCAATCAATCGAGTGCTGGGCTTTGGCGGATTTGGCTCTTTTCTTGCGTGATCTTGGGTTGTTTGAATCAAAGTTGTGGACCACCGAGGGAAAAAAAAGGGAATTTTTTTTGCATACCTGATCAAGCACGCCTTCGTCGGGCGTGCCATCCAGGCTGAGCGTCGGCGCCAAAGCCATGGTGAATTTTTCGTCCCTGTGGAGAGGGTACACATCGCAGTTGACATCCAGGAGCAAATGCATGTCGAATTGCTCGCTGTGTGCCTCGATCCTCGACACTGCGCACCACCGAAAAAGAGCACCCAAAGGATTAGTTTTTGTTCTTGTGGATCGTTCTCCAAAAAACGCTTTTTTGTAACGGAGAACACTCGCAACTAGGAGAGAAGTTTGAGAGATTCGACGAGGGAATGATTAGAGGAAGAAGGGACTTTCCTTTGTCGAATTTCTTGCCGTCCGGGTCGATGTCGGTGACCCGGAAGATGTCCTCGAGGAGCAAGGTCGCCATAGCTCTCTCTCCAGAAAGCTTTGAGAAAAACTTTGAGAAAACCACCACCCTTTGAGAAAAAAAACTTTGCTTTGTTTGCAAACTCGGAATGTAGGCTCTCGCTATATCTAGAAAAGAGTGTTTGGAAGATTTTAGAAAAGTTAACGCTGATATCTCGCTCGATCACACACAAAATTCTAGTAAAAAAGAGATTTTTACAGAAGTTTTCTCGGTTTTCTTTTTTCTCTCAATCACAAAACTAACTTAAAGTATCTTCCTTTCTGCATCTGTACATAAGAATCGCGTGCTAAACTATAACTATCAAAGGACGATCATACCGCAGCTGGTGTTTGGCTGCTCGCTTGCGAGTAGACAAGCAAAGATTTGATGAAGTTCTCGTACCTCCGGCGGAAAGTTGGGAATCTGGATACGCTGGTGGAAATTCCTTGAATCCTGGGAAACAAAACACGTAAAAGCGTGTGAGTCCCAAGTACAAAAAGAGATTTTGGAAGAGATATCTTGAGAACTCTGCGAGCTAGAGTTACCTTCTGCTGAGAGCTTCTAGCTCTCCTTTGCGAACGTTGTCTTGCGGTGCAATGGCTCCATTGTCCCACTCGGCGTCGCTGCTCAGGAGCGTCAGCTTTTCCAAGTATCGCTCCTCGCTGGGATGGAGCTTGGCCGCTCGGATTTGCTCTTTGAGTACCAGGAGCGGCTCGAAGAACCAATCCAGCAGTCGGTCCTCGGGACGATTGAAGACTGTCAGCTCCAAGCCACTATCTGCGGCAAGTTTTCATTAGTTCTAACCGAAGAAAGAGATCTCCCTCCCAAACTTACACAAAACTAAGCCTGTGGAGCTCGACTTGGCTGAGAAGATGAGGTTCATGAGCAAAGAATACGCCGGCAACTTCACGGCTATGAGCTTGTTCTTGGACTTGTCACTCAGGTACTCTTCCAGGTCCGAGGTCTTGAGGACTCCCTTGTGAATCAAATCTTTGCTGTGCTCGCAGCACGACTTAAACATATGTTCCCAGACCTGTCAAACTAGTGTCAAAAGCTGGAAAAGAAAAATGAGTATGGAGTTTCTACCTGGACCATCTTCACATCTTGTATACTTCGCTTGAGAGATTTCGACGCGGAGAGCTGGGGGATGATCATCCCAGCTTCGGAAGGCTTTTGTTCCGGAGCTGGCTGCTTGGCCACTGCCTTCTGGGAGTGGCCCTTCTCTGGATCTGGAAGTACATCTTCAGCTTTGGAGACCCGTGAGCTATAGCTCGGCCTGACATAACATCGATCGTTTGGCAAGAATGGTTAATAGAAACAATAACTACCTGGGAAGACACGATCCTTCTCTAAGATAAAGCACGTCATTTGTTTGCTCGTCAAACTCCGCACCCATAGCCACTATATAAGCCAAGCCAGACTTGAATGAATTCTCCTGGAAAACAAAGAAATGTATAACTCCACTCGACAAGCTTGGAAGAAAACAAAAGAATAGCAAACCTTGTGAACGATCACAGCAGCGTAGAGTCCCACAAAGATGCTGGTAAAAACCCCGGATACCACCGCGGCCACCACAACCAGAGGCCACAGGAGAATCGCGAGGCCAGCGAATGGAACACACACAACTTTGACGCAAGTTCCCTCCTGCGAGACGATAAGATCGTCCAGCAAACGCTCCCAGCCTTTTACAAGCATGAACGGGCTTTTGATGAGCGAGATGATCGCAAAGAGAGGGACGTCCACCATAACTCCAAGAACAGCAGCGACAAAACACGTTGGGATCTCGAGCAGCCTGCTAGAAATTTGTAAGTTTGATACTAAAAACAAACCTCGAGAGTGGGACCAACCTGATGTTATATGGGCCATCGATCGCCTCTCCATCGCGAAAGTCTGCAATATAAGCAGGACACGAGTGATAACACCAGTCCGTAAAATCGCGTACTACTGTGCAGCTTCCTTTGACAGTGCTAAAGCTTCCATCCTGGAAAAGCAGCAAAGTCAAGATAAACAGGGAAAAAAAATGGATAGAAAACGAAAACAAAGTCAGAAGAGGTGGGAGTTTTGTGGATATGAAACTGACACTCTACCTTACCAGGATGCAGGAGCGAGCTTTGTTCGTTCTTCCCTGGCTGACGGCCTCGAAAGTTGCCACCAGCGGCGTGAAGAAACCATATCCCAATCCAGTGAGAACGCTGCCGCAAATCACAGCTGCTGGCCACAGCACGAGAGGTAATGGAGCACACAAAGCTGCTACGAGTTTCAATAACAATCCCAGCTTTCTGGTCCTGGAAAAAACAATGAAGCAGAAAAACAAACAAAGAAAGTTCTTTCAATGAATGATCTTAAGCTACAAACTTGAGCTCGACTTACTTGATGATGCTTTCATAAATCCAGTAAACAAATGCTGGCCAGAGAGCGAGAGCAACTGTCACATTGCCCACGAAAATGATAGCCAGTGCCAAAGGAGCGATTAGAATTCCTGCGAAAAACAGGTTGGTTCCACTTTCTCTTGCTCTTTTCTTGCCAAGAAAGCTAAACTAGCTCGAGAGTTTCTCAGATCCACCAAGAAAACGAAAGACCCAAAGCAACGAATTCCACTCACCTTTGCCAATCCCCACAAAGAAAAGGAGGAGAAAAAGCGGTACGAAGAGAACAAAGCTCCAAACAGCAGCGCCCACGTCCACCCAAGACTGTGCCATGGCGCCCGCCTCGCTCGCTCGCTCGCTCGCTTCCCCCTAAATTTTTTCTATCTCTCACAATCAATCAATTATCCTACCTAAGGCCAAAACCAGACAAGGAATTCTTTCTTCCATGTGTGTGTACAGCTTTCATGGACAAAGTCCCGTGTTCGTGGATACAAGACCTTCTCTTTAAAGAAAAGAAGAAATGCTTCACTCGACACTCAACACTTCCACTGATATAAGTACGAAACTTCGTTTTTGAGAAGCTCAAAGACACCATCTCAAGTCAACTTGATTCACAGCCAAAAAGCCCTCTTTTTTTCTTTTTTTTTTTCTTTTTTCGCTCGTCAGGGAGTCTTGAGCAGTGATCTGAGCTTGTTTAGCGCATCGCCCGCCACGACTCGAGCTTCACTGCTTGTGTCCACCGTGACAACGTCGTGTTCTTGCTGGTCTCCCACTTCCAAAAGAGCTAGCTGCGACTTTAGCAGCGAGGGTGGCATGTAGTGACCACCGGCTTTGAATCGAGACTCCACTCTCGCGGTGATCAAGTCCGACACTCTGAGATAGACGAACACCACCCGGCTTTTCTCCCTCGTCTTCCTCTCTCTTTCGTCACTGGCTCCGCGGAGGATGTCACGGTATGAACTTTTCAACGCCGAGCACGCCAAAACCACTGGTTTTTCCTCCACCAAGTAGGCTGCGAGGAGATCCCTGAGCTTCTCCAGCCACGGAAGACGATCGGAGTCGGATAGAGGGATCCCGCTTCTCATCTTTTCTGGAACACAGAAGATCAGTGAGAGGAAATGAATTGATTTGCGGGAAGTCAGCCACCACCTATACTGTTTCCAGAGTGATAGTCGTCCGCATCGAGGAACTCACACCCAAGTTTCTCGGCAATCAGCCTTCCAATCGTCCTGCGACGCACAGAAAATTTTGGAAAAAATTTCAAGTCGAAGATCCAATCCTCTTACGTTTTGCCTGATCCAGAGACGCCAAAAACCACGATTCCGAGGCCTAGAGAAAAGTTTTAGGAGCTATGTGAAAGCTTAAGTTTCTGCTGCTTACCTGGAGATGAATCGAAAGCGCACTTGCTCGTAGCCGCCATAGCTTGTGGAGCTATACGACACGAAACCTATGGAATGTTCCATGAACCAACGATCGAAACGAAAAGAGAAAACAAAAAGAAAGCGTAGCTTCCGTAATCTGGGGTTATTTTAGTCAATCGCTTCAAAGAATGATCTCTTCATGAACACTTCGGTTGAGTGTCTTGTGAGAGAGAACTATGCAGTTGATCACCACGACCTCATCCTCTACAGAAACACCCTCGCCTGGAATAATCAAACGTTAGACTTGTCCACCAGAAGAAATTCTCATGTTCTCACCCAAAATTGTAATGCCCAACTTTGTAGTGTAGTCTCCGCCACCCTGTTATCTCCCGGTAGGCTCTACACAAGAATAATTAAAAAGGTCTTTTACCTGTACACGAGCCCATCTTCCAAGCGAGGACTTCCATCCAATAATCGCATTCATGACCACCGCATTTTCCTACAACCAGAAGATAAGAGAATGTTTCTTTAACGGTAGAAATCATAAAGGTTTTACCTCTATCTCGACATCGTCAAGGATTATGCAGCCGATAAGCCTCACACCTGGTCCGATGCGAGCATTCGCAGAAATGGAAACGTTTGGACCAATCTACAAACACGGAAAAACAAAAAAAAAACAAGCCAAAGTTCCTCAAGTTTTCTCTAGAAAAGACTCGTGTTACCTTCGCAGAGGGATGAGTTTTCGCGGAGGGATGGATGTAAACATCGCCGGAAACAATAGCACCTTTGCTGTCGCTCTTCGCAAGCAAGTGTGGAGAAGTAGTTCGATACTGTCCAAGGTACAGAGCCGAGCATCTTAGCGAAATCCTGGAGTTAGAAAAGTTTGACAACGAAAAGCAAGTTGAGAAAGCGAATAACAAAAACAAAAAACGATCCACTCACCCTGGAACTTTGATCTGTTCCCAGAAATCTTGAGTTTCATAAGCGTACAGCTTCTTCTTTCCAGCTAGCGGTGTCAGAATGTCTTGGTCCAAGCGAATGAAGTCTGCCGACAATGTCCTGCATCACACAGAAATCTTTTTTAATAGAGTGTTTCTCGATCCGTTAACGTACTTGGTAGCGGACTGAAGGGCTTCAAAGCTTGTAAGTCGACGAAGAACAGCTGCACAAAGACCAAGCATTCAGTGTGGGAAAAATAGTCTCCAGGCAAACCTCTATCATGGCGTGCCGATTTAACGTCTTGAATCGCGATGAAAATCTCGGGGCTAAAGATGTAAACGCCGCAGTTGATGAGGTCGCTTACCTGCAAGGACGAGAAGCTGAGGCTTTTGTTTCAAGAATAAGTAAGACATGGAGGCTTACGAAGGTTTCGGGCTTCTCAGCGTAGTGTAGCAATTCGCCACTGTCTGAGTCTGCTACAAGCTCGCCAAACTCGCTAGCCACTTCCGGTGACACCTGAAAACAAAGTCTCCAAGATTGTAAGGAAGCTTTTCCTCCGAAGTGGAAGCATCACGCACCTTTTTCACTAAGATAGTTCCCATGCCTCCACATTTGCGATGGAAAGCTGGCAGAACGAAAAAAACTTAGACAGCGAAAAGCTCCAGACTCTTTACTCTTACCCAGCATGTCCGTGAGAGGGAAGCTACAACATACATCGCAATTCAGTACTATAATGTCTGTCTGCAAGAAAGAAAACGAAAAACAAGAAGAAGAAAAAACAGTCATCCAGTTAACGAGACATGTAAACTCTTACAGGGTCTTCTTCCAAAATTAAGTCCCGGAACTGATACAAGCCACCGGCAGAGCCGTGGGGCTTATCTTCCTTGAGATATCTACAAGAACACAAAAAGTTGTCAAGAAGAAAACAAACTTGACGAAGAAGAGTGGAGTTTTACAATTCACCTTACAGGAACCTTTAGTTCGTTCGAGAGCGCGGACGTATACAAGGCAAATTCCCTGTCCTCGTAGAATCCTATCAAGTAAATGTGTGCCAAATTCTCAATCTGAAAAGCGGAAGAACAAAGAAAACAAAGAAGAGAAAAGTTTTAGCTGCACCAATATCACGAAGAACAAGTCTTAAGTTCAAAGGAAAAAAACCTTTTTGCAAGCGAGAATCGGGTGCTGGACCATGGGCTGTCCAGCCAGCGGGAAGAGCGGTTTAGCGACATTGAGAGACAATGGCCGGAATCGAGTTCCTGGAGATAGAACCACACCAATTCACCGGAAAAATCCACTTGGAAACTCCACCAAACCAAAAATAAATTTCATACCTTTAGTTGGCCCTCCCACGAGTATCACTGCCACAACCTTCTGTGATTCCTCGCTCATTTCGATGATTCGAAAGCAAAAGAAAAAACACTCGAGGAGAAATTCGTGCCGCTCACACGCAACCCACAAGCAAAGCGAGCCTCAAATCACGGGAGCTGGGCAGATCCAGATCCAGCAATTATCCACCCGGGAGAGATCTCGCACCAATTTACCTCCACGAGATCTGTGTATGGCCACCACGCCAAAATCTCCATGTCCTTGACAACGCTCACACAGTAAAATGAGAAAAAAAAACCCCTAGGCCTAGCAGCTTGGAGTTTTAAGGTGTCCTTTAGATTTTTTATTGGCCTCCTTTAGTTGTTCCAGACATATTCGTTGGTCCTGGGTGATCTCTCTTTAATGTTGGGTGCTGGTGTGGCTTTCCTTTCAACATCTGGTAGGAGATTTGGAAGGAGAAACTGTTCCAACGACCTCATTCATGCAAGATCATCGCATGCTCGTTTGGTGTGTTGACCAATAATTTGGTGGGAGTCATCACAAACTCTTGGCATCGTAAGGTAAAAGACTGACGAGTTTAGCGAGCTTGATTTGCATAGTTTAGTTCGCACCGTGTGTCTGTTACATCCACCTCTCAATTCCATTATTACTAGTTTAATTGTCATGTTGTTCTGAATGCCAAATGGACACCCCAAAAAAGTGTTCATGGTAGTCTAACAATTTTTCCTTCTTAATTTCAATGGATAACAGCCTAAGTTTCATTGAAAGGGAAAGATAGTTCTTAAATTAAATAATTAAAAAGTATGTTAAGGTTGATTGTAAAGTTAAGTTAAAACCAAAGTTATCAACTAATTATAAATATATTTTAAGTTTATAAATTTAAAATTTAAAATTTGAATATTTTTTAATAAAATATAACTTAAAGTTTCCCATATATCTTTTATAACTATTTCAATTTAATAAAATATTAAATTATATTTTAAACACTTAATAAATATAAAAGTAATTCATCTAGTGCTAGTTAAAATAAAAGTAGTTATCCTTCTTAATATTTTAAAATATTATTTCAATGCTAAATAAAAACTGCTTATTAGCTCTAAATAATGGTATAAGTTTTTTAGTATGTTTTCTGTCAAAAAGAAATACAGCTTCATGCTAGAAAAGGTTTATCCATAGAATGATAGTGATTTAATTGAAAATGGTAATATTTATTTTGTATAATATCTTTATTAAACAAAGAAAGTACACAATAATAAATTATTTTAAAAATTGCAAATAAATTTTATGGTGTGCATAGAGTTTTGGTATATTATCAGACATATGCTGTGATCAAGGTAAAATATCATTAAATAATTATAAGGCTGTGCGTGAAGGTCTTCCCAACGGTGTTGAGACTTTATACGAAAATCCTATAGAGCATTAAGAAAGTTGAGGAAAGAACTCGTTAAAATCTAAATAGGCTCCAGAAGGGGCTAGATCAATAAAATAAAGAGCACAACGTAATAACTTGCTTTGAGTAAATTCCAGAAAAACGTGCAGCTAAGATTAGAAATAAAAATCAAACAAACTAAACTGAGAAACTTACCTGAGACCACCAAAGAAGAATTTTGACCTGAAGAGACAAGATTGAGACAAGATTTCAATTGAAGCTAGAGGATAAAATAGAAAACGTCCACATGATATGCCAAATCAATCGAGCTTCTACTTTTGGTTTTCGAGGTAAGAATCTTGCTAGCTGCAAGGAACACAAACAGTATGCCTTTCAAGATTATGAAGTATGAAACCACGCCTCTACCTTTGAATGTGCTTCTTTGGCTGGTCCAACAAAAACTTCATCATCTTTTCTCATAGGCCAGCCCAACGGAAGCAGGTTTTAGACTTGCACGTCGAGCTGGGAAAACATCCAAGTGTC